AGAGAGAGAGAGAGAGAGAGAGAGAGAGAGAGAGAGAGAGAGAGTCACATGAAGAAGAATAAGAGGAGAGAAGGGTCACCGCTTTTGGTCCTACTTACCCCTGATGCCAACTTATTTTCTTTTATATTAGTAATAAAAAGTGTAAAGTACAAACCAATTATTCACCATATTATTTCCCTGTAGAAAATCTTGAAATCCATTTTGGAAGTTAAATATTTCAGGATTCTGTGGTGTCCATTGTTCAGAAGTGGAATTATTTCTTGTTTGCATATGAAGGTATTCCTACAGTCTGACATAAAATCAGTTGCAACAAGAATGAAACAGCAATTTATAAGATATGGAAGGGGAAAGCTTTTGGTTGATGTAGATGGGATTGGTGTTGAGTATGATGGAGAAGGATGGCTCAAACATAATCCATTTAGTGTTCAGTCAGATTGGGAGCAACACGTGATTGATCGTGGGGATCCAATGTACAGAGTTATGCTTGCTAAAGCTGATGGAAATTAAGTAAGATCAGTGTAGCTCTTTATTATTTTGTCAGGTTGATGCTAAAATTAGAATTGATGTTAAATGGAACACCATATAAGTTGCCTGGTTTACTGGATCTATAAACTGGTTTCATTCTACAGAGGTTAATTCTCAGTCTAATCTTTTTTGCTTTATTTTTCACTTGTTCCATAAAGGCAGGTCTCAGACAACTTAAAGTAATTATTTTTCTTGTATTGACTCTTCATCCAACCTTGGAGGCAACAAGTGAGTTGATCCTTGAGCATATGCTAATTGAAGATATCTGGGTAAACATGTTTGCGGAGTTTTGTGAAGACTAGAACATCAGTCCACATTGTATCAAGTGCATGAACTACAATGGCATAAATTAAGTTCTAGAACGTTTTCTATGTTTTTACCATCTTCATAATTTGCTGTTTGTTTTTGCTATCTTCATAATTTTGCTGATAACTTTATCATTTTGTTAATAAATGAAATATTACCAAAAGTATTTAAGTCATTAGAATTTGTGCATGAACCTATAACAAATGTTCATGCAATCTCAAGCTCACCTGTGGATGCTCTCTAACATTGCACTCTTGCCTGGACAACATTCAGCAATTATCTCCTCTGATCATATCTATTGTTACTCTGAAAATGCTACCAGCCTATGGGGGATATCTTGAAAGAGGACTCTCTCAGACTATACTTGGTAAGTGCCTGTATCATGCTCAAACTGTATTTCTTAGACTTAGAAATAGAAAAAGTGTGACTGAGCCAGTGAATAAATTAAGAAAATGTTGTGTATCTAACCAATATTCTTATAGAAACCCAAAAACAGAGCAGAACACCGAAGCTTAATGGGTCTCATGATGATCGCCAAGATGTGTTCTAGCTCATGAACATTGAGAGCTATGTTATCGTTGGACCTAAACTAGCAGTAGGCCACTTACCAAAGACAGAACTCAGAACTTACTTTCCATGGAAACCACAAAAAAGATATTTTTTTGGGTTGAAAACCACAAAAAAGATTGAGTGCCTGTTTTAGATAAATGTCCAAGATTGCCATGTAATTCACTGAAATTAATCTAAGGTGTTTCCGATTTTGTTTAATAAATAGATAATAAGAAGTAAACAAAGATGAAAAAGCTAATTTGTGGGCAGCGGCAAATGTGGAATCAGTAACAAAATTGTAGCAAAATAACTTGGGCATCAGAGACTCGGGGATTAAATATCAATAAAAAAAATCTGGGACAGCATGAGTGACTCCTATTGATGATGAGTGGAGGGTGGGTTCCTTGAGTGGAGGGTGGGTTCACTTTTGACCATGTGCTGTGTTTTTTATTAGTTTGTACATGTGAGAGAAAGGCTTTCACCTATGCTTCCACATATGCTCACTGAGAGTCATTTATATCGCAGGATAGAACTCTCTGAGAAGGTTCTTTCCCGTTTGTGTACTGCTTTCATGCATTTGTCTCATGGGAAAGTGGAAGATACTGTAGCAATAGGGTAAAGGGTTTTCAGCCTTTCCCAGCTAGCTATTTACTTTCCGAGAATGCCGCTTCATACCTATTTAGGTATGAAAGTGCTTTCTCAGGTGACATTATGCTATTCTCTGGGAATGAACTCTTCCAAGGCCCCGAGGAAGTGCTTTCCAACAAGACAAGCATGCCCTCATTGTTTGCAACCCTTTCCAGGACCCTCAAACCCATCTGAACTTCTCCCATCCAGGGAATCTGGAGCCCATAAATCTGATAAGTAGTTTTGGTTGGTAATGTAATTTTGGAGTTGTGTATCCTAGAAACTGATGTGGCTGTAATTATTGGATCTCAGCCTTTCCTATACCCAGACATCCTTAGCCCACTCCATGCACGAGGCGGTCCATTCCATCTAGAGATCTCTTTTTTGATATGTTAGAAGTATAGTTGGTAGGAGTGGAACCTGTGACGTCACTCAGTGGTTCCTCCACCCTGACCATCCAAAACTCAGGCCCATTCATTCAACCTAGAGATACCCAAAAAGAGAAATAATGAACACGGAGCATGTCTCTTGAGGTCGCCCATAGGTCTCACACACCAACTTTTTGAAAAACTAACTTGGCATTGTTTGAAGCATTGAAACTAGTGCTAAAGCTGAAAAGGAAGCTCGAGGTATAAGAAGGCAGGAATCATGTACTGGTTTTCTTTCATAACCCAACCATATTTCTTTTCAAAATGATATACTATTTTTTTGCACACTTTTATTCTCAATTAGTTAATGCACTTGCTGAATTCAAGATCAGTTTAGTGAATGGTTTTATGGTGTTTATGTGGCAGCACTCTAAAATAATGAAGGGACATTATTATCTTGTAAGTTGGTTCTCAGCAGATTTTTTTAAGGCCAGGCTTAGTATTCTAATAAAGCTGAGACCTCGTAATTCTTTCCATCTAGAAATTTGTTATGGTAAAACTTACTATGCTTCCTCACCCATATATACTTTTCTTACATCCCCCGTCCCCCAGTCTTCCAATCTAAATGAATGGCTTGGATGTCTTCAACTATAATGTCACAAGTGATCCACTGACTGTTTGATCTAGTTATGACGTCTCGGAGTATTTTATTTTTAATTTTTTCTACAAATCATATGAATATGATGCAGCTAAAAAAAATTGAAAATATAATTTGAAAAATAAAATAAATAAAATACCCTTGAAAGTTTCATTGGGATTGGGGCCATCTTAGCGTCCATTCAAATAGGACGGTTGGGAGATGGGTGATGTACGAAAAATTTATATGGATGGAGAAGTATAGTAAGTTTTCCCATTGGTTATAGACTTACTAATGTGGGGGACAACCTATTGGACACAACCCAATTTATAGTATTGTACAAAGATTTTAGAAAAGGGAAAGGTTTTTATACTTTCCCTACAACATAAAAGATATATGCATCCCCTCTCATCGGTTAGTATTTTTTGTTTGAAAAATGCTTAATTATATTTCAAAACATTACTTTGGTTTTATTATACTTTCCTAAAATACCTTTGTAGAGAGACGAAGGGTTTGAGTCCTACATTGAAGAGGAGAGAGTTTGTTAAGTTGTATTTAAGAACACGTATTCCTACACGATATACTCTAAATACAAAGGAGAGGGGAGGCGCATGTATGGAGGACACGAATTGTGTGACGTACATGTACATGTGCATGTGTGTGTGTGTGCGTCTGCGAGGGCAAGGGTGAGGGCGTGGGCCCTTGATGACGCACTTTTCACTTTGTGAGTGCTCGTGGCTCGTTAGCTTTTTGTGAGCCCGGCTCGTAGGGAGATCCAACGGTTATCTAGCTGTTGATGCGTGTGGGACATCCAACGGTCATTTGGCCCTCCTACCCGTGCGAGTTACAGACTTAGAACAATTTTGTAGCCTCTCTCACTAGACCATTCTCTGCAATTCCAGCAAGTAAACTAGTGTGGTAAACTCTCTCTCTCTACTCAATTTTCTCTCTCTCTCTCTCTCTCTCTCTAATGCATCAAGACTTTGGTGTCTAGTGTGTGGGTTCCAAACTTGGGTGCATAGAGCTTAGGAGCATTGTAAACGACCTCTCTGTTTTCCTGCATCCCGAAGACGAATTGCCCTTCTTATGCACATCAAATATTATATTGAAGGGGGGCAAATATCGTCTTGAGATAGCGTTCATGCGTGCCCGAAAACAAGAAGAGTTTGAGTTTTCATTTTTGCAAATCGTACTATTTTCTGCACCTTTTTCACCCATCAAATTCCAACAATTCAAGACAATATCTCATGAGTGAGAGAAAAAAGACTGCCATGACTTCTTTGAAGGTTATGAATCATGATTTTACTCAACTTGAACGCTTAAACGGGTTGAATTTCAAGTGATGGTAGCAAAATGTTCTATTTTTACTTACCACTCTCAAAGTGGTTTACATAGTCACCGAGTCAACGCCTACACCGTCGCCACCATCGGATGACTCCACCGATGAATAAACTCAATCATACAAGAGATGGATGGATGATGACTATATATGTAAGGGTCATATTCTAAATGCCTTGGCGGACCCGACCTATGACATGTATGCCTCCATTGGTAAGGCAAGAGAGTTTTGGAAACTACTTGAAACCAAATACCTCACAGAAGAGTCTGGTAACAAAATATTTCTAATCTCTAACCTTTTAGATTTCAAATTCATTGAAAATAAATCTATTCTCTCTCAAATATTTGAGTTGCAGCTTGTAGTCATTTAACTTAAAGATTGTGGTATCTTTGGATAAATATCTCCTAGTAGGTTCTATAATTCATAAGTTTCCCCCATCTTGAAGAGAGTACCAAAAGACGATGAAACACAAGAAAGTTGATCTCGATTTGGTCCAACTTCAAATATCTATTCGAATTGAAGAATAGAATAGACTTAGCGAAAAAAAATCAATTCATTTTGACTCTAATGCAAACCTTGTTGAGCAAAATCAAATGCTCTTTATAGCAATAAGCCTTTCTTTCCCAAGGTCTATAATGAAAATTATAAGGACCTAAAGTCTATTGCCAACAAGAAAAAAACCACTTGTCAGGTATGTGGAAAACCGGGACACTATTCAAGAGAGCGTCAACATTGGAAAGGGTTCAAAAGGCCTAGAGATCAAGTGTACTTGACCACTAAAGTAAAATTTGTACCAATGGTCACCGAAGTAAATATGATCGATAAAGATAATGGATGGTGGGTCGATACTAACATGTATCAAACCAGTGTTTAAAAATGCAGTCGCATCATGTGGGATGCGCTCGCATCCGCATTGCAAACTGGCGCATATGCGCTTTTGACAGATGCGGCCGCATCAGGAGGCATCATGGCTGCATCCTGCATCGCTTCGCATCACGCCGCATCTGTTTTCGCGGAAATGTTTTTCGCTTTTCCCCCTCCGAGGGGGGGGGTAAAAATGGTCTATTTGTAGTTCCAAAGTTTAGGGAAACTATTTGGGGGGTTATTATACCCCCCTAAACGAAGATTTCCAGCCACTTTTGTGGCCTTTTTGCATCAAAATGAGGGAAAAAAAAACCTTGGCGAAATTTTTTTTTTCATCCAAATCTTCGATTTGGCAGTTGTTTGATACTTGGATGTTCATTTGTTGATTTGGAGATGTTAAGGTGAATTTGTGATAAGAAATTAGGGATTTCAAAGGCTGTGAAGAAATCGAGCACTACTTCACAGAGTCTGTAACTTTTTATTCCTTCTTGTACAATAATACTGTTATACTTATTTTTGGGGCAATGTCTTCTTCCCAATCTTCTAGTAACAAGGATCCAGCTTGGAAATATGCTAAACTAAAAAAATCGAAACATTGAAATTGTGTGATATGCTTGCTCTGTGGAAATACTTTTATGGGTGGTATTTTTCGACAAAAAGAGCATTTGGCCGTAATTTCTGGGAATGTAAGAGCATGCCCACAAGCTACAGATGATATAAAAAAGGATAATAGAGAATATTTGGATAGATTGAAGAAAGATAAAGAGAAAAAAAAAGAAAAGAAAGGAATTACTTGATGATATGCAATTATTTGATGTTGTTGTTGATGATGATATGTCTGAAGTTGCAATGAGGCAAATGGGTACTCATACTCCAACCTCAAGAGAGAGAATTATAAATATTAGTGGTAGTGCTGAGAACACCTCTCTAAGGGGCCAATGGATTCTTTTTTTCCCCTAGCTCCGAAATTGTGGTTCAGGAGAGAAAAAAAAAACAAAACAAACCACTATTGACAATAAATATAAGAAAGAACAAAGGAAGTCGGTATGTAAATCGATTGCAAAGTGGATTTACATGGCCGACATTCTTTTTAATACTATAACTTTGGATAGTTTTGCATGTATGGTCTAGGCAATTGGGCAATATGGCCCAAGACTTATTCCTCCTTCACTACATGAGGTTAGGGAGCCCTTGTTGAAGGATATTGTATTTGATGTGAATAAAATTTTGATTTCTCAGAGAGAAGGGTGGGAGAAATATGGGGCCACTATTATGGGTAATGGTTGGTCCAATGGGAAATCAAGGACATTCATTAATTTTTTGGTTAACTGCCCAACAATTACTTTTTTTGTTAAGTCTATTGATGCATCAGACAAGTCACATGATGGTACATACTTATCTGGCTTGATGTATGAGATTGTCGATTTTGTTGGGGAGCAAAATGTGGTACAAATTATCACGGACAATGGTGCTAACTATGCTGCAGTTGGGCATTTCTTGACTTTGAAAAGGAAGCATATGTTTTGGACTCCTTGTGCAACTCACTATGTTAATCTTATGCTTAAGGAAATGAGTATAACATCTTTATTTAGTGGGGTGATTTCAAGAGCTATGTTTGTTGGATTTATTTACAATCACACCATAGTCATAAGCATGATGAGGTCTTTTATAAAGAAGAGTGAATTAGTGAAATCGGGTATCACTAGATTTGCCATGTCATTTTTCACTCTTCGAAGCCTAGCCAAGCAAAAAAGTGCCTTGAGGCCCATGTTTGCTTCAGAGCAATGGAGTCAAAGCAAATGGTTAAAGCATAAGGATGGGAGAAAGGCTGAAAAAATTATTTTGAATACATCTTTTTGGAGTCAAATAATTATTGCATTGGAGGTAGCTCGCCCTTTAGTAAGAGTGCTTCGACTGGTTGATGGTGATGCGAAGCCCGTCATGGGCTACATACATGAGGCAATGATTAGGGCAAGAGCTGAAATAAAAGATGTTTTAAAAGATGATGAAAATATGTGAAAGGCTATACTTGAAATTATTGATAGGAGATGGGATACCCAGCTTCACAGGCACCTCCATTCAATTGGTTATTTTCTAAACCTTCACAAGCACATCCATTCTGCCGGTTATTTTCTAAACCCATCTCTTCACTACAAGCACCCATCCATTGAGTCAGATTGTGTAATACATGGTGGGTTCTTAGATCTGCTAGAAAGGTTAATGCCAGACAAAGATATCCAGGTGAGATCCAGAGCCATGAATTAATTAAGTTCAAGTTAGTATTGGAAAACTTTGGGAGAGATATTGCCACTCGAAATAGGGACACTACAAATTCAGGTAAAGGCTAAAAGCCTAAAAATAATGTTACTTGTCTCTTACTTTATGTATAGTTCCATTGTTTATTTTATACCCTTAATTTTTAACTATATTTTAAATTATAAAATATTATACATCTGTATGGTGGGCATTACATGGAAGAGAGACACCAAATCTACAACGTCTTGCTATTCATGTAGCTCATCAGGTTGTGAGCGCAATTGGAGTGCATTTGAGCATGTAAGTCCTTTACTCCTTATTCCTTAATCCTTATTTCTTAAATTTCAATTTTCTAATCTAAAATTCTAATTTATCTGATTTTAAATTTCTACCACAGCTCTATACAAAAAAAAGAAATAGGTTGGAGCAGAAAAAGTTGAATGATTTGGTTTATGTGAGGTATAACGAGCGGCTTAGGGAGAGGTATGGAAATCGCACGAAGCTCTATTCAATTATATGAAGCTGATGGTGATTTCATAAGTGAGTGGACCATGGATCCAAGACAAGAGTGTGTGTTTGAGGGTGAGGACCTTACATGGTTTGATGTCGAGCTAACAATATGGGCTAATGAAGAAGATCGACCTAACACTAGAGCACAAAGGAGTAGAGGAGCTGCTGTGTCTAGTCTCATTCACACATTAGCTTCAGAGGTTGAGGAGGAAGCTGACTCAGAGGAGACCAATGAAAAAGAATACATGGAGGTCGTCGAGGATGATATTGATGATGCGCATGACGACTCTTAAGATGACTTGTCTGATTGATATTTGAAAAAATGAAGTTCAAATTTTAAACTTGACTCTCAAAATGGATGATTGTATTAAGTTATTATTTATTAACTATTAACTCTTCTTGAGCTTGACTTTTGATTTGTATTTTGTAATATCATTATTTTGTGCTTATGGTTGTACTTATGGTTGTTGATGGTTGTGCTTAGTTATAGTTGTGCTTATGGTGCAAATTTGTGTTGATGGTTATTGATTGTTGAATGCTTTATAATGCTGGTTTCAAGTTTTTAGTTTCTATCAGGGGATAGTGGATAACTGGATATAGAATCTCTGACAACTAATAGTTTTGAAGTTAATCATTAAACTAAAATACCTACTATCATATGTATCACATTCATATTTTTTCTATGCATTAACTTATTTTTTTAGATTTTTTAGGATTTTTTTACATTTATTGACCGCATCATCGCGATGCACCTGCATCCGAGCCACATTGGCCCCCCACCGCATCAGGGCCGCATCCCGCATTTTAAAACACTGTGTCAAACAATCGAGATATGTTTAAGACTTTTGAACTAATGGGTGATGGTATTTCTATGCAACTGGGAACCCAAGTTATGTCAAATATGCTTGGATAGGGTATAATGAAATTAAAGTTTAGTTCGGGCAAAGTACTCACCTTAAAGTTTAGTTCGGGCAAGCTCATAAGGGATCTTATTACTCTTTTTATATGAAATTCTATTCAAAATAAAGCATGTAGATAATAAAGCTTCACCCCACAGATTTACCATTTTTGGTCAAGAAGGGCCTTAAAATGGTCATTGGGTCTGACAAACTCATCTTGACCGAAAATGGTATATTTGTTGGCAAGGGATACTCACGTGATGAGATGTTCAAATTTGATCTTGTTAATGAAATGAATAAGTCTCCTTCGTATATTGTTACTTCTTGTAATGTATGACATATGAGATTCGGACATATTAATTATACTTCTATTAAATCTTTGGTTAAATTAGGATTGATTTCTAATTGTGATGAATTAACTAAAGAAAAATATGAAGTATGTGTACAAACTAAAATTACTAGAAAACTATTTCCTTCAATTGAAAGAAATAGCGAATTGCTATGACTTATACATAGTGATGCACGTGATTTAAATAATGTTCTTACTAGAGGTGATAAAAAGTATTTTATTATCTTTATTGATGATTTTTTTAGATTTTTTTTATTGATGATTTTTTTAGATTTTTTTATGTTTATTTGCTTAGACATAAATAAGAGGTTTTGGAAAATTTTAAAGTTTTCAAAGCAGAAGTTGAAAATCAACTTAGCAAAAAAATCAAAATTATTAGAAGTGGTAGATGAGGATAATATTTATCAAATGATTTTAATGAATTTTTTGAAAATAATGACATTATTCATCAAGTAATTGCTCTTTATACCCCTCAACAAAATGGATTAGTGGAAAGGAAAAATAGAATTTTAGTTGAAATGGTAAATGCAATACTTATTTCTTTTTCTTTGCCATTGAATTTGTGGGGTGAAACTTTATTATTTGCATAGTTTATTTTGAATAGAATTTCATATAAAAAGAGTGATAAGATCCCTTATGAGCTTTGGTTTAATAAAAAACTTTATTTGATTTTTTTCAAAGTATGGGGTTGTCTTGCATATGTTAGACTTCTAGATCCTAAAAGAAATAAATTGGGTTCTAGAACATCTAAATGTATTTTTTTGGGATATTATCAAAATAGATTTTTGGATCTAAATTCTAACACAATTTTGGAATCTAGAGATGCTGAATTTTTTGAAAATCTCACTTGTAAAAGTGAAGTGAATGAATCAAGTAGCATGGAAAATGAAAATAATCTAGAAAATGATCATAATGTTGATGAAGAACATAATAATAATGAAATAATAGAACCAAGAAGAAGTAAGAGAATTAGAGGTAACCCATCTTACCTCTTTGGACATGATTTTTTTATTTATCTTGTTGAGGCTAATCAAAATAAAATTTTGAACTCATCACCTATAGTCTCAAATGTGAAGGACGATCCTACATCTCTCTAAATGAAGCTTTGGCATCTCAAGATGCAATTTTTTGGACAAAAGCTATTAATATTGAAATAGATTCCATAATAGTTAACAACACTTGGAAATTAGTAGATCTTCCACCAAGTTCTAAACCCATTGGTTGTAAATAGATTTTTAAAAGAAAAATGAATTTTGATGGTTCTATTAATAAATATAAAGTAAGATTAGTTGCTAAAGGC